AACAGAGGTTGATCTCGATTTACACACAATATGGGAGGCAGAGGGGTCGACAGGGGGAGGGGGACGAGGCAGAGACCGTGGCCGAGGGTTGAGGAAGCAGATGAAGATTTTCGTTTACACACGGACATTGTTAGTATAACTTTTAAAATTAGGGTTTTGTTACAATTTCGTAGAGTTTCCCTAAAAAATGACCTAGATGCACTGAGAAGATACCTCGATGGGGAATATCGTAACACGACATTTTTACCGACTGGTTAGAGGAGGTTGGAGTTGCTTCGAGAAAGGGGGTACTGCGAATCAAAATATCAAGAAGTTTTCAAGTTTGGCTGGGACAGGACTCCAAGTGGTAAAACACTTGGTTGGAGAGGTGATACTCGATACTAAGCCTACTGATAACAGTGAGCCATTCGAATTTGAGAATGAGCTGAGGGTTGAGCTTCCACAAGGTCTGCTAATGGTGTCCATTCGGATGACGCAGAGATTGGCAAATCTGACATAAATTAAATTTGCACGATCGCCCCGTTCAGCCCGGACAAGGGAGGCGGTGGGGGTCGGCAGTGGGGGGAGGCAGGAAGCAAGGCCGAGTGCAAGGACGTGGCCGAGACCGATGGGTTGAGGAAGTAGAGGATGACCCCGATTTACACACAGACATGAGAGGCGGGGGGTCGGCAGGGGTGGAGGGAGGCATATGGAGGCGAGGCCGAGGGGTTGAGAAAGCAGAAGATGATCCCGATTTACACACGAACATTGTTAATATAACTTTTGAAATTAGGGTTTTGTAATTTTGGAAATTAGGGTTTATAATTTTTGAAATTAGGGTTTTGTTACAATTTTGTAGAGTTTCCCTAAAAAATGCCCTAGATGCAATGAGAAGATACCGGGGTGAGGAAGATCGTAACACGGCATTTACCGACTGGTTAGGGGAGGTTGGAGTTGCCTTTGAGAAAAAGAGGGTACTGCGAGTCAAAACATCAAGAAGTTTTCAAGTTTGGTTGGGACATGACTCCAAGTGGTAAAACACTTGGTTGGAGAGGTGATACTCGATACTAAGCCTAGTGATAACGGTGAGCCATTCGAATTTGAGAATGAGCTGAGGGCTGAGCTTCCGCAAGGTCCGGTAATGGTGTCCATTCGGATGACGCAGAGATTGACAAATCTGACATCGGATAAATTTTGCACGATGGCCCCGGTCAGCCCGGACAGGGGAGGCAGAGGGGTCGGCAGGGGTGGGGGAAGGCAGAGGGGTGTGGGCGAGGCCGAGACCGAGGCCGAGGACGAGGGGTT